ATTTCAGCAAATTATATTGAATCTTTAAATTTAGCAATTAAACACTGATAGAGATACATTTCATGAAAGACTACAACCAATTAATTAGTTTCGAGAAACTAACCCTTTCATGAGTAAGAAATCACAAAATCAAATTTGAGTTCAACGTGAAATTATTTATGGTGAGAGTCTTTTCACGCTCCACTTTTTATTCACCTCTTCATTTTCCTCAGACAATATTTTCTCAAACACAAAATTATCCGTTTTATACACTTCGTCAGGATATTCGATCATAAACTCAAACTTCTCAATTTCGACCACAACTCCCATTAGAAACCCCGGAATTTTAATATCACTCGAATCCAAACCACTTAATGCTCTGGAAGTTTTTTCCCGGTGCGAATTAAATTCCTTAAGATCATCATTGCAAACTTTGCTGATATTTTCAGCAGATTGCCAAGCTATTTTTTCCTCGACTGGCAAAGTCATCCAACACTCCCCAAGAACATCTTTTTCCAAGCAAGCAGACGCTTTTCCTTCCATAGTAACCCAAACTCCCTTTTCAAAACGCGAACAAGTTAGAGCAACATTTTGGTTCTTTCCGATATCTTGGATTTTTCTACTAGAACACAAAGTAAAAAAGAACGGTTTGTTGTCTGGTTTATGTTGCAAAATTTTCACCCATCGCTGGGTTGGTTTTAGTAGATCTCCAGTTTCAAAGCCAGATCTGACTGTCGATAGAACTCCGATATACCTCAGCCAGTCCTCTTGAATCTTGGCATCGGGGGCCAATTTCAGGAAGAAATCGAATGGTTCTGGATCAACTTCTTCTAATTTCATGATATCTGAACTAGAATATTATTCTTCGGAATAAATTATTGAGCAGAGTCGAAACTGCAATTCGCAAACACAAGCGAAAATCTAAAACTAACGAAAATACAAAAATAAATCTGAAAACAGTTTTTTTGCAATTTCGGTTGGTAAAAAGTGAACTCGTTTTGTGTCACAAGCTTCAGCTCGAGCAAGAACCTTTGCAATTACAGGCACACGCCAGAAAGATCAAGCAGTTTTTAATATTTTCTCTGAAAGAGAGAAGCCATCATTCTCGGGAAAAAAAACAATAATACTTGGAAAATCGGAGTTTGAGGGTCGCGGCCTTTCAAGCTACAAAGGTCAAAGAAATGAGCAAATGTTCTGAGCAACGAACAATTTACGTATCACTAATTGTTTACAAGGGCCAAATAAAACAGAGTGTTTAAACATGAACGCTTTCACTTCGCTTATTCGACAAAGAGCTCACGATGTTAGAAAAATTTAATACAAATGTAGAAAAAAGTATCTGCCTGCCCCCAGCAATCATCTTTGAATACCGTAACGATATTTTATTGGGCAGTTTAAATCATTTGCTCTCCTTCGAAGTAAAATTATTGTTCAAAATGTAAAAAAACTCCTGAGAACAGGAAAAAACTTTGAGGGTAAAAACCCACAATTTGCCTTTAATTTGACTAAGAAAATTATGAAGATACTGGTTCAAACGTTATGATATTTGGTAAATTATGAAAAGTACTGTCCATTATAGCATGAAAATGAATCATTTCCATCTTTTTATTCAGTTCTTTCTTTTTTTCGAGAGCTCACCTGCTACCAACTATTTATCTCTCTCAGATTTAATTTCTTCTATGATTGATTACAATATGAAGTAAATTCTCATTTGAACCACAACGACAAATGACTATCACCGCTCAGGATGATTTTCTAATTGTTTAGTTAACACACAAAAGCGAAGTGGTGCTTTGCTAGTACCTTTTGCGATACTTCACAAACATAACAAGACAAACTAGATGACAGAAGCACCAGTCGTAAGCCACTGAGACAAAAAAATCCTTGGAAGTTCAACATTTTATCATCAACATTTTTATAAATTGCTCTCAAATTATTGTATGAAAAATGACAGTGTTCAGCTTGCATTGTAATTTAGAGAACATAACCTGGGTAAACGCCCGTTGAATTGAAAATAACCTTCGTCGTAATGATTTTCAGCTATTTTCGAATTTTGAACTTTATGCTTTAGTTTAGCGAGCCGCTAGCGTTTAGCCAAAATTAACATATCAAACATAACCAAATAGGTCAAATATATCAAAACAGTTCTTCTTCAGCAACTGAACACCGATGCTTTGGTGTTCATGAGGCTCTTTGTGAAATAATTCACAGAATTATAAAATGCATAAGACTCAACTATAGCATCGGTACTTACGCGATCAATTTTTGTCACTGCAAACATTTTTGTAAAACCAGAGGTTACACCCTTAAGCCGAGAGTTATATCTTCTGCGGAGTAGAACGGTTGAAGAGTCGATTCTGCTCGCGATTGTTCAATTATACTAACGAAACTATTTCGAAGACATTGCACACTGGTTCGCAATTGGTTAAACTCCGAATAATTGATTAGTTTAACTTCACAGTTAAAGATTTTAGGAAAATGAAAGACACCCACGGCTATCTTTTCATTTAAAAACAATTGGCTTAAATTGTTCCCTCCAATTTTCAGTTGTTTTTAGTGAGGGATTGAATTGGTTTTTGAACTAGAAAAAATCAGGTGACAACAGCCACAGTAACGTAAATATCATAGATAAATTGGAAAATTAGTCTCCGGGTGTCATTCATCCGAGTAAATTAGTCTGAAAAAAAAGGGAAACATTTCGATCGGTTATTCATAGCACTATTTTCAGAATTTGATTCAAGATTTCAATATTTGAACATACTCGACCCTCTGCCAGCTTTTTTGGAAGTACCTAAAATCGGCTGGAAACAACCCTTTGGAGTGAGGTCGGAACACGGAACAAAAACGTGTCGTTAAACAACGCTTCCAAATTTGTCAGGGACAACTTAAGAAAAAAGGATGAAGAAAAAAAATGTTTCGTAATTTAAATCAATAGTGAGACAGTATATGCATCAGAACACTTAATTAGTTTGGCAACTTAATCAAATCTATAATTTGAAATATCTAGAACATAGACAAACGCAGATGTGCACCCTAAAGCTGGACGGAGTTTCACTGTGCTAAGTGACTCAGGCTGAATCAAACGTTCGTTAAAACAACTCAAGATAAATAACTGCACTCTCAAATTCTCAGAACTATTTTTTAAATTTGTTTGAAAGGCACTAAACGTGCTTTAAAAAATTAACTTATGAGCATTGTAGTGTTCGATCGATTTATAATCGATTTTGTGTGGCGCTATTCTGTATCGTTTGATCCAAGAGAGCAGATCAAGCAGGCTAAAGGGGTGCCCCAGTCTTTAACCCTACGTTAATTAACCCCCTGTTTACACTTCATACTTTATAACGGCGTAATAAGGTATGCCCATAACAATTTAACCCCCCTTTTAATATCGATTATGTTCGAATTATATATTCCAATTAAGTGTACCAATTGAGGCCACAGAAGCGATTCTTAACTCACTTGATGACTCAAGCATCTAACATAATTGCATATTTTATTGAATTCAGCCAATTTATCTATTATTAGCAAGAATACTTGCAAGATCATATTCAATTTTGGAAAAACCAAATCATTTTTGATTATTACTTTGAATCATGCCAGTCGGATTAGCTTTCAAGTTCATATCAAAGTCTGGACGACCGGCAAGTTCATTTCTGTTCAAATCTAAACAGTATTTGAAAGCGAGCATATTCTTTTGTTTTGTTTCGCAAAACTTTTCGCAATTAAAGCTTTGATGTTTACCAACGCTATGGTTCCGAATCCCTTTCAAGTAGGTTTCACTTTCATTCTAACAATTGTTATTAAAAAGGATAAATTGTAGTGGAGTTATCTAATTCTGGGGTTATATGAGAGGGGTTGAGAAAAAGATTGTTGAAAAGCGGGGTGTTAAGCTTGGGAACTGGTAAAGGCAAGACTAAATTCAGCGATTTACGAAAGAGAACTTTGTCAACTGATTATTGAATTCACACTCTTGTTCTCCGAAAAAACCAAAGCCAATCGAAGATTAGAATAGAGCAAGGAACGCAATGTACACAAAAAATACTACTTTCTTGAAAAAACCTCAATTTTCGAATTTACGAAAACAATGATTATCGCATTTTTACTAACATGAACCCATCTAGAGAAAACTGCATCCATAGGTAAAGTTTTAATTCCATTGAAATCTTAAAATTAAATTCCACTTTCGAAACTAGAAATCGTTCAAATTTTTTCAGGCCTTTACCACGTTCGTATTTGGAGAGTGCTATTAACGTCACTTTCAGCAGACAAACTTCAATTGAACTCAAAAAGTGCATATATAGCTAAGTGCATTCATAAATGCATCAATATGTATTAATGCACATCTGTAGTTAGAGATTTTAGAAATTCTGCAAAAAAAAATAGCAAGACCAATATAAGAGTCTTCACTACGTTCATATCTCTTAATAAGCAGCACCAACAGACAGCTGGAGAAGCGTTAGTGGATTCAAGGAAGCCGAAAATATATCAAAAATCACTTACTTGCAAACACTTTCTTTAATTTTCGAATTTTGGGCGGGGGAGGGGATATGATGCACGTGTTAGCTCTTTCAAAAACCTTTGCCTGGTATTATTTATGAATTTCACCCAACTTGAGAAAGAAGAAACTTCGATTTTTTTTATTCCGCTGGGAAATCTAAAATTGAAACCCACTTTCGAAACCGAAAGTCAACCATTATTTATTTTGCGCAATTTCTAATGTTCTTATTGAAGACGTAACTTGCCTTGCTGTTAGCAAACGAAATTGAATTCAACTTGAAAAGAAATAAAAAGTGAAACAGCGAAAAATCAACTTTGTGGGAACAACTTTAGAGACTTTTTTTCTGGAAAAAAAACCAACACGACCAATAAAAGCAATTTCATTACGTTTATTGACACTTAAATGGCTTATAAAAGTATATGCGGTTTTCTCATTCTAATTATTTTTTTTGCAATTATCACCGTAGTCGGAACATAAAAAGCATCTTGCACAGAGAACGGCTAGTAACTTTTTCACTTTGAGATAAGGTATTTTAATGTGAATTTATCCCATTTCAATGAACACAAAATTTACAACAGCCCATCACTCATTGTTTGAACTTCTATTGGTTTGTCTTGTGACTATTATCACAAATAAATATATAACACACTTGAATGGCTTCATCGCATTAATTTTTTCTCTTAAAGTCCAGGGTTCGAGAAACTTAGTCAACTTCTCTTGAATTTCAAATTTCCCTGACTCAGTTCAAACAACGTCATTCCAAGTGCGATAGAACCCAAAGATAGCAGTCCATTATCAGCCAGACATGATATAGCCATAGCTGGCCCCACACAAGTTCCACTGACTCCCCAGCCCAGTCCGAAAATCATTGCGCCCAAAATCAATCGACGGTCAAGTTCACCCTTGGGTGGAATGCTGAACGTCTTGGTCAGAAGAGGTTGTGACCTTTTGAAGATGAGGTTGAATGTGAGCAGGTTGATGCCGACTCCTGAGGCCATGACGAAGGCGAGAGCGGGATCCCAGTTCTTGTTGACAGTGAGGAAGCTGAGTATCTTGGATACTCTGAAAGAATCAGAGGGTTCAAAACCAATTATATAGCCACAAATCAAATCAAGCATTGGGCCGCACAAAATTTAGATACTTTCAGATTTAGTTTTAACTTGAAAAAAAAAAAAAAATCAGAGAAGCAACAATTTCATTAAATTTGAAATATTTTCGGTATAAAAACAAGTCAAATCCACAATAGTACCAATAAAATGGTAAAGTATATCAATGAAAATTGCTCGATTATAGAAAAAAAATCCTAGACAACATCAAAAAAAAATTACTTGAACCCTTGGGTGTTCTAAAATACAAGCAGTAACCAAAACATATAGTAAATGCGCCTGTAACCTTGTCATTCCAGACAACATCAATCCGGCTGCGAATAGAATTCCAGTCACATACGCGTTCACAAACTCCTTAATCTCCTTCGGTTTTTGGGCCCAGATGAACAGTGTGAATAAGTTGAGAATTGAGAGGATGGCTGGGGTGTATTTGGGCATGTGAATTGATAGAGCGGCTCCAAGAGACTCGATCAGGTCGACTTTGGGGATCACTGAAACAATAGTACATGAAAAATGAGCACTGGTTGGTTGTTGAAGCCCCTGAAGTTTTCTCATATGGCAGCTAAATCGGTTCGAGGTCCACCAAAATTCGCTCTTAAACTTGAGGGTCAAAAAAATCTTCCTGCTCCGAAAACCAACAAAAAAAATCCATTGAACTCAAATAAAGGACGCTACAGCTATATTTGTGAAGATCTCGAGTTCTTGCCATTCAGTCTTTTTACGAAAAAACCCTAATCATAAAACTTTTCATGAACAAAATTTCATGCTTAATACGCCCAATGTCATCATCAGCATTGTCTCATATTATTTTTTTATACAGCTCTTTCAATCAACTGAACGAAAAAATGATCACTGCAAGGCAAGAAAAGTACAATCAGGAAAATTACAGTTTTAAATGATGAAAACGTCATTCATTTGGTTTACATACAATGATGTCATGCAAACTTATTCGAATTGTAAAAAATAAATTGAAAACAACTGATATGATTAAAAAGAGTTTTTTTTTCTGAGAAAAGCTTAGAAGGAAACTGACATACGTGGATGTTTGTCAAGTAAAGTAGCAGTGGCCATCCCGACAGACATGAACACACTAACTGCAGCCACAGACCTATCAATCAAAGAAGGATCATTATTTTATAGCTAATCAGTCAGAGGACAAAACTCGCAGGTTAATGATCCAGGCTTAACTATAAATCCTCCTATCAATTCCTCCGATCAAAGAATGGGAAAGAAATATGACATAGAGTGTATCTTCATCGCAATTATTAGTAACCTCAAAAAACTCTTTTACAGGATCTTAACATTAACCTTGCTAGTATTAACGTGTCTTGATTAATTCTAATAATCTTCGATTGCAATAACAAAATTTAACCTTTTAGACAGTCTGGGAATTCCACAGAGTCCATGTCCACTGGTACACCCACTGCCCAGTCTCACTCCGAACCCAACCAACATCCCCCCGATGAGGACAGTGGTGGCAGGGAGGGGGGAGGAGTCGAACAGTTGGAGGGAGAGTCGCTCGCCGAGCAGTGGAAGAGTGACTGTGGCTGAAATGGAATGCTCGAGAAGTTAAAATCACACGACACGGATCCGAGTAAAAACATATTTTTAGTCAAACGCATCAAATCTTAAAATATAGTTAATGCCAATTTGCTGGCGATATCATTTTTGCTCAACGAATCTGAATTAACTTATTTTTTTACCATTATCGGCTCACTTTGTCGTTAGAGATCAATATTTCCCAGTGTGTAAAAACAATCTACTGAAAATCAAATCAATGTGCGACATGGAGTACGTTGAGACAAATTCTAAGCAATACCGAGAAAAGATTCACCAATAACCACTAATTGCAATACCACAATTAAGTCGCAACGTCTACTTGACAAAAATCTCGAGACAGAATTAAGCAGCAGCACATGTGACGAACTTCCCGCCGAAAACAAGTTTTATTTAATAAATTTGATGAAAAGGTAGTTAAGTGGCAAAACCTTTGTCTCCAAGATCAATAGAGATGGTTGAACTCCCAAAGGATTCACGCTATCAGGAGAAAATTTCGATGCAAGCGCATATTCAACTGTTCGCTAATAACTGAAGTATTATTCTAGGTGAAAAAAATGCGCAAAAGTCTTGACCAAGGATCCATCATTTTTACACAAAGGCGAAGCCGAGCTTCGTATCACTCGCGATAAAACGAAAGAGTAGCATTGCAAGCCACCAAATAGACAGTGAGATGAAATTAACAGTCAAAAAAACTTGTTTTGGAAATACGAAAAATACTATCTCAGAAAACCAGACGAGAAATAGAACCACTAGCATTAAACAATCTTTTAGTGTTTTCCGAGCGTTCACTAAGCCAACAACACGTGGTTAGACATCAATGCCAACAAAGCCGAAAACAAAAAACGCCAACGGAAATTGTTGTCATAAAAAAAATTGAGCGATTAATAAGTTTGAACTTTTACACTACCAACCGACCTGAATCTTTCATCCCTAAACCGATGCAACTAAGTTTAGTAAACTGACAAAATATGAGCCAAAAAAATTTAGGCCAAATAAGAAAAAACTCAAAAAAAAACGGAAAAAATACCAGTCAGGGATAGTAAGTTTAAAAGGATACAGGAGTTCATCAACAACACTTGAGACAACAATGAAAACTGCTTACAGCGCAAAAAAAATCGTGGTTTCAGACTTTGAAAAAAAGTCCGACCGGGACTCGAAACCCAGACCATATGGTGCCCAGACCATATGCAACCGCATTACCTCCAGGCCAAGAGACAAGGTGCCTGAAAGTTGCTGAGAATCGATAATAAAGCGACATAAAGTTCAATTAAAGGTGTAAGAGAAGTTTGGAAAATGGAACGCCGAAAAAAGACAGGCATGTTTTTGTCATCAAAAGATAAAGCCCCAACTACGAGAAAAAAACTGTTGACAAGGACTTAGTTATTATCTCCATTTTCGTCTTTAGCACCGCCGTTTCTTTTCTCCGCACTTAATATCTTTCTCCCGCACGCAATGTCTCAACTAAATACCAAGCATAACGTTTAATAGATGGCTTTCGGCGGATTTAGATTGAGTTCATGTCATAAACCATTTACTTGTAGAATTTTGGGCAAGCTGAGGCTTATCAGATCAACTCAAGCACAATTTCCTAGCCCATGGAACATGAACATCAATTATTGATGAAACCAGGCGTTTTTCTAAGGTTATCTATGAGAAACAATTACCAAATTTGTCTCCAATAATAGGCTTAATTAACCTAACGCCAAACTTAATACAACATAGAGAAGGCTAACATGTTTTCTTGTTAGTAGGATCACTTGATTCCATTTGACGTTAAGAGGTTGTATCAACATTCGCAGGAAAAAAACACTACTACAAAGTTTCTTCCCTCTCGGTGGAGGGAACAGCAAACAATTTTAATTATTTCTAGGGAAAGTACCTGCTCTGCCTAGCTGGTTGTAGGACATCAAAGCAGTGGATATGATAGCTGTTACTGTTGTCAACTTCCATCTGAAGTCAGGCTTCACTGTCATCACTGCAGACAAGAGAGATGACATGCCTGTGATGCGACCTGAATAAAAACAAAAATCTACTAACTGTGGGGTACCGAAGTACGATTGCATCTCTGAGAGTCGTATGGGAGAAATTACAGAAACTCAATTACTTTAAGTTTCAAAATTACAGGAATAAATCAAAATGACTTTAAATTATAACCCGTCAACGCTCTTTAAATCAAAAGAAAAATCAATTTTTTGAAGAAAAAAAAGCCGACAAAAAACTTTAAAAGCATACAAACGATAGTCTCTCTACAAAGTTTTCAAAAAAATGAACTTTAGACAAAAATTTCGACACTTGGCCGAAATCAATCCCAGGACCTTTGTGATCCTAAACATGGACGTTACCTGTTTCGCTAAACGGTCGAAATGAATAGTTTACTTGACATACTATTCAAAGAAACTGAGGAGTCCTGCAGATTAGTCCTGTGATCTAAGCTTTCAACGGAAAGAAACCCAGTACACGTTGCAATACCCTTGCTCACCAGAAGGCTAAACAGGACACCATCATACATACCTGTCATCAGCATGTTGAACGAAGTTGCGGATGCCAATAGCCCACCGCCAAGCAAAGCACAAGTTACGTCATTATCCAGACCAAACATTTTCTTGAGGGGTTAGTTTCACTTTTTCGGTCCAAATAGTCGTTTATTCAGATTTAATCCTATAAATCGTCTGGCTAGAAATTCTATGGGCAGTCGTGATAAAAACTAGTTGTATGGTCCGTCGTTGTTAACATCAAAAATATTTGATTCCCGTCAGCTGTATAGTCTATTCGCTACTTATGAGGATTGTTGATAGTTGTATACTTAAAGCGTCGGATAATCGGATCAGAAAAGTACTAATTTCTGGGATATGGGACAGATGAGAGAACACGTTAACTTTGATTAATAGAAGGGGTTTTGTTACACAGGGGCTTAGGAGATAGTATACTTGTAGCTTCCGCCTTCAATTTGCAATCAATATCTGAAAAAAAAACTTTGGTCATTGGAGAGGCCTGGTATTGAAATACACACATAAGGACAGGGGCGGATCTAGGATTTTCTTGAGGGGGTGAGGGGATTATCAAAAAAATTTCGAAAATTTGGTCATTATTTTAGGTCGACCAAATTGATTTTCCGAGCTCTCCCAAATCATTAAAAAGACCCTGTTTCGGTCAAACTTTTTGCGCTGCAGGCAAAAAAAACTGGCCGAAAAGGGGGACTGTTCTCAAAATAGTACAAAGGGGGATCCTTTGGGTCAGTAGGTGGTCGAATCCCTGAGGGGGGGCTCCGCCCCTGTTTAAGGATATTCATAAGCTTGAAATGCATAAAAATCTTGCTTTTTCTAAAAATTCATTTTAAAATATACTGCAACAAAAAGTGTTATCATTGTTCAATTCAAGTTTTCTTCACAGACTGGACATTTTGGTAGTCTGTCAAGATTAATCAAAAGGCCGTTGCTTCAATAAACCTGCAACAAAAAGAGAAGGTAATGCGACAACGTTTTACAGCAGCTATCTTCAGATTCAGTCGGTTCCAAAATATCTCCTTCCGAAGTTGGTCGGAATATCCGTTTCAGATAGCTCTGTCGTCAGAATAGACATTGCGGGAAACTGCTCCGATAAGCAACGTGCTCCTACAGACAAAAAAGTAGTTACACAGAAACGAAGCTGAGCTTCGCCTTACTTGCAATAAAAAGATATTCGAATCATAAAAGCAAGATTGACTTTGCTACTTATTCTAAATTTATCAAAAACTTAAAAAACGAATTCAAGAACAATTTATGATTGGTACTTTTTTGATAAAATCAAAGCAATTGGAGAGAAAACTGGATCAATAGGTAAATTTAAATTTTAAATCTGAATATTAAAATCCATTTTCGAAACTAGAAATCAATCACGTTGTTCGTGACTTATATATTTTCGCTAGAAATGAAAATCATAACTCAAACAGGGAAAAACAATTTTGAGCGTGAACAAATTTTAAGACTTATTCCTGAAAAAAAAAACCAAAAAAATCATCAAGACCTATTTAAGAGAACTGAAAGGCTTCTCTGACTGAAATCCTGACTGTAAGGCTTTACTATAATATTCCGCATAATATCAACCCAATCTGATGATAATTTGTGGTATCTGACGTTGCGTGGAAAACAAAGAAGAAAAATTAAAACACATCCGAATACAAAAAAATCCAAATTATTATTGTAAACTATCTATCAATGATAACTCTAGACACAACGCTGATGCGTTACCCCCAGAGAAAAAACTGTAACAAGGCGAGCAAAATCGTTTTATCGTATGTTAAGAGGATTTTTTTTTTCATTAATTTCAGTAAAAGTTCTTAACCAGCACCTTAACCGAAATATACCAAAAAGATTTTTATTCAAATTTAGAAAAAGCTTAAACGATAGAAAAATTCAGCGCTTTGGCAGCTAAGCCGACATAAAATAAGCAAATAACGATAGTCTGATAATAATCTTTTAGCAAACAAGTTTCCGCTTGAAAAAAAATAAACTCCTGACTGGATTCGAACATTCGACCTTGATCGTCCAAGGCATGCACGTTACTTATGCGCCAAACTGAATTAGAAACTATTACACGCCAAGCTAACGAATGATTCAGTGATTCTGTTAGACAAGTTGTAAATCTGAAAAAAAAAATTCACTATGATAACTACCCATTTTGAAGAAGAATTACAATCCAGCAAAAATGTGTTTCAATTCTTTAGTCAACAATTTTTTCAGTCGATTTAATGAGCATGTTTAACTCTTTCATACATGACAAAACTATACTATATATATTCGTTGACACATGTAAAATTGTTCCCATAACATACAGTCAGATAAAATACTCATAATCATACCTATTGTATCGATTGGTGAACTCTTCTAGCCTGGCGCAGAAATCACCTTTACAGATCACTAGTGAATTACAAAACACACCCTACTAAACACTTAATAGTAGTTATAATGATTAAAGGCATACATGACGTGCAAACAACATTTAAATTTAAGCCGCAACGTTTCAGAAGTGGGATGATTTGACGCTAGTCATAGCTGCACAACACCAACTCTAGAACTGGACGATATTTGATATGTACTCAAAGCATAAGATTTACATGATTTGAGATATACTGATTTTGATGTTTTAACGAATAATTCTGATCTGAATATAACCAGACACGCCGGTAATCGAGTAACGCTCATAGAGAGTTCTGAAAACTTCGTTTTGATATCGCATTATTTTCTGCAAAGAAACTTGGACACAAAAACAAGACTAAAACTTGGGGCTTTTCCATACCTCATATCTGCTCCTAAAAATACTAAACTCAATGGCGTGGTAGATTCCACTACCTCATGATATGGTCCAAATAAAAGAATTGTAAGCGTACCTTCAACAGTGGCGAACAGATTTAGCAGCAGAATACTCTCCTGAGGCACTTCATTTTCTAGTAACTTCTCAATTGCCTTCACACACGTATCTCCTGATTTGATGATCGGATACAGCAACAGCACTTCGCAAAAACTCTTTTCAAGTTCCCTAACCACAGGAGGGATTTAATTTAGCAGCTAAATTAGGGGTATATTTCTCCACCGCTAAAATGCTATTTCACGGAAGTTTTTGCCGACACGTCAACACAAATAGTTTCTCATAACATTAACTTCACGCCTATACACCCAAACTTGGACGGCGAAGCGTTCCAAAAAAAATGTCAAATTCTCCAAGGAAAATAAAATAAAATTGGCTCTACGGGTTCTATTTTGTCATCGCAAAAAAATTTTGGGCAAAAATTGCTTCGAATGAAAATATTTTGTTTCTTAGTTCTCCCCAATACCAAAAATACCAATGAGAAGTAGAGAGAGGGCAGAGTAAACGTGAAAAGAGAGTCTGCTAATTCCCTTTGCGAGTGGCGATGTCGGCTGGGAATTTGAGGTAGCACACATTGGCCACTCCTGTCTCTTCGTCAGTAGTGACTAGTATCTTTCCAATGCGCATAGATTTACAACACTCTCTCAACCCCTTTTCCATTGCCTCCCCTATAAATTGGGTTCTGTAAATTTTAGAAAACTTCAAGTGGTTCTTCAAGTAAATGAAAATCGCGTATATTGCAGTTTTATTAACATAGCATAGTCAACAGACAGGAAAAGCGTCAACGAACCATTGAAAAACAAAAAACCTAAAAAAAAACTTTTTGGATAAACACTTTTGATAAAAACTCAGCCAATTTGAGTAAAAACGAATCAATAAATATATATTTTTAATCCGCTGGGAAATTTCACTCTCAAAATGAAATTCATTCAAGTTTTTATCAGCGATTGAGCCGATTTCAGATTTAAACGAAGACTTTTAAGCGGAATAAAGATTTTGAGCGAAAAAAAAACAAAATGGAATTGATAAAAAATCGAAGTTGGTTTACCACGATCACAACCACAAATTTAAAACACAGGCATGCTCAAAAAATTTCTGCAAATTCACTGACAAAGTTCATACGAAATAATTCTTAGAAATTCTAGTTCCTAATTACAATACACTTGCTCTCGCAAGTTTTAATACAGAAAAAGTCATAATCTTGATGTTCAACAATACCAATCAAAATCGTTGAAGCGTGCAAAGAAGCCAACACAAAAAAAAATTAACTACTATACAAATTCGATAATTACGCAACAACATTTTGCGTTGCATCACATGGCATAACAGCTTTCCATTTATTGCTGGCTGATTTAGTTAGCAATCTATAGTTCGACTTGCATACAAGACTACGACGCAACCACAACTGGAAACAAGTGACATCTGAGAACAAATTAACCGGGAACACGCGACAACTGGACTTTTTTCTCATTGGTCTAGCGGTAGAGTTTCTTGCGCTAATAATCGCCATAAGTTTTCACAAGCAATTCGTGTCTTGGGACAGTCAAGCTCGCAAAACGTAGCAGTCGGATTGACTGATAAGTTGTCTCAGTGCTCATTTCTTAATTGTTCCCAATGGTTGCCAGCTTCAAGTTTTCCTACTAACCTGATCGCATGATAGACACTCCGCAGTTGCCTGGCTGGTGAGTGAGTCCCTCGTAAGTAAAGCCATGAGGGGTGACCACCTTGAACTCAGAGTAGGGCAACAGGGTCAGGCCAGCCTCCACTGTCAGTCTGATCTAAAAACACTTAAATCAAGTAGACCATGCCGGAGGTAGAATCCAAGTTTTTACTAATTCCAAACCAAAACATTTTGCTGATTCCAACACAAATTTTTGCTATTTTCTACCCAAAATTAATGCAGAGCTTTTATGTGAAATAAACTTTGAGAGTCGCAATAAGAGTTTAGCCAAAAAGTTTCTCAAGATTAGCGAAAACAGGGAGGTGATTGGTGTCGGACGCCCATATCATCGAGATTTCAAAGTTTATTCAACCAAAAGGGTCACCCCTTCGTTTTATTTCACGGCTTCTTATTTTCAATTTTACAAGCCCAACCTTGAAAATTTACTCAAATCTCGGACAAAAACAGGTGTGAGGTTTGTCATATCCTCAGTATAATAAATGCTCAGTTCTCGGAAAAATTCCCGAGACCCCCCCCTCTAAATGTCAAACTCAGCTGCAAACAACGACTTACCAGTCGATCTGCCGCGAACACAAACCTGTCACGGGCTGTTGTTCTGAAATAAGTGCATATAATAGAGCAGGATTTAAGGTCGTTCATACTCTTCAAAAATAAAGAAATGGATATAAATATTGATATTAATAGGTTCTTAAAATCTCACTGGAGATTGTCTTTGTTAAATTAACCTAGCTTTTTAAATAAATTTTCTAATTCTAAGTTGGCATCACAGTTTTATCGCGGAAGAGGTGATAAATTATGGTATTAATGGTACGCAATTAAAAAAACAAACAGAAATTAAACAAAAACAAGGTTTTTTTTGTGTGTGGTGTGACAAAGTGAAAGACTAGATTTTTGGTTTTTCCGATATACATAGTGAGAGAAGCATATTGTAAAGCAGTTTTCTTCGAAAAATGACTAATGAAAACAACAAAAAAATATATTTTTTTGGCCATTTTTTAATTTTGCAAACATTTTCAAGATGGCAGAAATTTTTTGCAGACATTTTTCAGAATGGCGCTTAAAAACTTTGAAAACTAGTTTTACTAGATTTTTCGGGGTTAAATAAGCAAAACTTATTTACTACTGATCTGCGACTATCGCTCTACAAGGAGCCTGCTCGTTAAATCATTGGACGAAAAATCATAAATTTTAAACCGGTTTTTCTCGACACTAGAAATTTTTATGCCGTTCAAATCACGACTGAATATGCTTTAACATGATACATCACTCAACCCAAACCGATGATTATTTGTGGTACCTAATTTTGTGTGGAAAACCAAACAAAAAACTAAAACATACCCGAATACAAAGTTCCTCCTCATTTTCAATGGTCGGAACAATAACCGAAACAAACCATGAAGGTGTTTATTGAACTGAAGAAGATATAAAACGACAAAACTTGTGAATTCCAAAAAAGTTTTTATGACGAGCACTTTTTTGACTAAATTAGCCCAGTTTGAAAAAACTGTTTGAATAAGTAATTCATCATTGTGCTGGGAAAACTGAAAAAAGAAATCCACATTTTGAAACTTAACTTTTACTGTTATAGGAGAACGTAATTGTCTTTTATTTGGTTCATAAAATTAATGTGAACTTCAAAAACGTTTTGAAGAGATGCCATCTAAATACTATATTGAGCGTGATCAAATTACAAGACAAAAAAACAAGACCTTTATGCAAACTCACTTATTCATTAACACTTGTGGAAGACACGAAAAAGGGATATGTTTTCGTTTTTAAATGTTCATTATTTTTTGGGTTTTAATAAAATTTTTACAAAATTTTTACAAAAATTAACAGTGCGAATCTTCGAATTACAAACCAAACAATGCTGTCTCTTTGAATCTTAACCATAACAAAATTATACTTCGCATTGTCAACCGAATATAAAGCTAAGAACTGATTAAATCGAAATATCTCGGAGAATTCACAAACCAGACTTTTGTTAAATAAAATTTAAAAAAGGGAACTAGAATAGAAAACAAATTGAAAGTCAGAAACTTTGTTTTCATTATGTTGGCGAATCTTCACATTCACGCAAAATTTTTCTTCGTAAAACTTTTTGCAATTCAAAAACAAGTTATGATTATCACTGTGTTGATGAAGCTAACCCAATTTGAGAAAACTGGATCAATGGGTAAAATTTTTATTCCGCTGGGAAATCTGATAATTAAATTCAATTTCCAAAATTGGAAGCCGATCACTTTTATCGTGTTTCTTACATTCGATAGTGCAGTTTGCCTTCCTTTTACCAAACGGCGAAAGAGTAAATTTGAGCCTGAATAAATTTCAAGACTTTTTCCTGAAAAAAAAACAAAAAAACAAATCATCGCGACCTATAGAAGAGTCTGAACTACGTTCATCGAATTAGAAAAACGCCAAGCATGGTCTCGGATGCTAAGGCTTGATCCTTCGCGACATGGTCCCGTTCCTTACCGCCACACTACTGGACCCACATTTTCATGAAAATTACCTTCATGAATAAATCAAGCTATCAAATGATTCAAGTTATTCTGTTAAACTAGTTAACTAGAAAAAAGTCTATATTCCAGTTTGATATCGCTTGCTTCTCGCAAAGGTAATAATTTTTAAAACAATGTTCATTTTGAGAATTACTTTCGGTAAAATCTTTCAAAATTTTAGCAGCTTTCTCGTCATATTTTTAATGACCAGCATATTTTTTCTTTCGAAACACGCGCAGACCTCCACTTCACCCTAAGCGGATAGTATTTAGACGATTAGTAATTCAATCACAATGATGAACTGATTTCGTCATAATACCTCTATCACCACTCAAAGCAACGAATAAGTAAAGGAAAAAACTTACAAACATTCATTGATCACAATTTTTGTCCGCTTTATACCTTGTTTCGATGTGTTTTTCGTGTTTACATGCTGTGAAAATTTGATAATTTCCAAGTTCTAGTAGTTCCGACCGTTGAAAACATAGAGAATGTTTGTTAGTATTTCCATTCAAAATCAGGCACCACGAGTAATCATCGGATTGGGTCTAGTGTATCATAGTATATCATATTAAAGCCCTCTCAGACGTGATTCGAACGAGAACGATAGGTTAAAATTTTCAAAAAGCTGTCCCAGTGCCGAGAAAAATTAGAGTGAAATTTTTGAGATCTAGTCTTTTTCGAGGGAGTAACCCGAACGAGTAACGTTCATCATATAAATATTGATGGATATTCGAATTTTCTCAAAACTGAGGCAACGGAAACACGACTGAAACGGTTTCAATATGATACAACACTTGGCCCTCTACGAACTTTAAAATGATAAAAAAAACAAAAAACACCCTTAGCCTTAGTTCCTTCCTTTCACTTCGTGAAGTGATCGGAAAACTAAATACCATATGGAGTCATTTTAAATTTTTGCTGAAGTAATATAGCTTCAAGCAAAAAAGACTAGTCAGAATCTTCTGGGCCAATTTGATAATCTGGTGGTTCTTGCTTGCAATTTGATAAGGCGAAGCCTGGAAAAATATGCAATCAAAAAAGAATAATTATAAATGGGAAAAAACGATAGAAAAACTAAATTTTTTCGATAAAGCGAAGCCTGGAAAGCGAAGCCTGGAAAAGCGAAGCCTGGAAAAATAAAGCGAAGCCTGGAAAAATATGCAATCAAAAAAGAATAATTATAAATGGGAAAAAACGATAGAAAAACTAAATTTTTCAAAGAACACTGAAATAAAAAAAAACGCTTAAAACAGTCAACTCTTGACAAAATATGCTCTCTGTCAAAACCTCCGAAATATTCAGAGCGTGGGCACCACAAAAATTAATAGTCATCGATACTGAACAGTTCGCATCTTCAAAATCGCACGAAAAGCAAGGACCATATTCCAACGGCAAGTACGATAAGAATGAACAAAGATGAGTTGACTAAAATAAATCGTCACAAAAATCTTCTTGTTACAAAAAATGAAAGAAAAAAATCGCAAATTAATCTGATGATAAATACTTTATGTTTTTTAATCATTGGGCTTAGCTGCTAATGCATGGGAGCTTGCCAGGTTTCTTTCTCTCCATTGAACCCAAAATCTCAGATTTGAGTCAGTAGTTTTTGAGAAAAATCAAAAAGTTTGAAAACGGTCAAAAACTCTAAAATTTGACTTTTCCGAGGGTCATAAGTTACCAAACTTAACTAACTTTAAGCAAAGGTTATCTTTTCGGAAAAAAAAGAAAAATTAACACTAATTATACAAGTGCTTTCACGAAATTCATTGTTATTAAATACACCAAAAACATGACAAAATTAGAGTAGGGAACTAGTCAGACAGATCTAAAGCTGACACCAAAAAGTCAAAAAATTTACGTTGATATTGAAAAACCGAACAAACAAAAAATCAATTAGTATAAATCTTACAAGGATCGGGTCTTTTTACTTATTCCGACCCAAATTCAATATTTCAAATTCTTGAATCGAAACTAATTTGCTTCAATCTGATTGGCTAGAATCAACCAATCAAATTTCAATAGCATCTGAAAATTATTGTTCACAATTTGAAGTCGAATTATAATTAAGCCGGATTGGCCTAGAATGAAAAATGTTCCTTAAATTACTCAAAATTATTTCGAAGGTGCTCCAGTGTTTTACCCAGATTTGAAAAAAAACACAGAAAACAGCTCCAGGGAAACAAATAATCACTTCCGTATCTGCTCAAAACTCGGCCTTGTTAGAAGTCGGCTTAGAAGTAAGTGATCGCATTTGTATTAACCAAAACAACTAGTGTTATCATTATGCTGTTCTCAGCATGTATACATCGACATATTACATTGACATATTACAAAATCGAAAAACTAGGAAAATTGGGCGGAATAAATAAAGAAGACCCCAAGGATCCTTTATACGTCATTGCATGATCGCATGCACTGAGAAAAACATTTACCATTCAGAAACTAAACTGACAGAGACCTACTCGAGCAACAAGAGGTTAAAAAATTGGTTACTGGTTAAAACTATTTCAAAGATGGACCGTTTCGGAACAAAATTGCCTGAACACAATTGGGACAATTCAAATCGGGAACAAAATTGCCTGCATTTTTAGGAACTCTATAAATGGCTTTAAGAATGCTATAGAGAAGGCAAGTTTTCATACAAGTCCTTCTGCGGAGCTAAGCAGACAAGAAAAGCAGACAGACAATAATCTAAACTAGCCAAAATTTTCTAATTGCAAAAAACAGCTCTCAACTGGAATCGAAATCCCGGGCTTTGTCATCTCAAGTTATTGTTTTACTTCTCCGCCAGATGCTCCGGATGGTTGATTGTAATTGAATTTTTAATTAAAAAGCGGTAACAAAGCCAAAAATACCTGAGCAGAAACCCTTCATGCTGAAAAAATTCAAAACATCAAGCGATAAAAAGACAAAAAACGAGAAAAAGAAAAAACTTTTTAACAAATCGAGCTGGTAAGATTAAACCAATGTGAAAAACAAATTTTGATTCGGCCGTATTTCAAAATGCTAAAAACAACGGCAGTCAGAATTTCTTACAGCTAAAATAACCGATTCTTAGATGTGGCAACTAAGCCGACAAAACATAAGCAGCCAAACAATAGGTCGAATTTTTTTTGATCTGAGATATTTACCGTTTGAAAAAAAAACTGGTTCTTGTCAGATTCGAACACAGGACTTTTGCCCTCCCAGGCGTATTCGTTACCACAAGGCTAAGTTGCGAGACACTAAACAAATTGAATTCATTTTGAAGCAAGGTACATCAAGAGTCCAATGAGTCCTCTGGACCAAGTTGTTTACGGGAAAAAAGTCTAGTAGCCGATTGTAATACCCTTGCTTATCGCAAGGGTAAAAACTTTAGGATAAATTAAATTGATCCTTTGAAAAAAAAAGAAAAATGATACCTAAGCCGGCAACAGGTGAGCCGAAGACCGATTGAACCGAAAAACTTAAAGTATACAGCAAAAAATCAGTTCAAGCAGGCGCCTTAGCAATACACCAATGCTGCATGAAAAAATCGACACGTCTCAAAATGAAGCAACAACACTTTCTTGATTTTTAAGAAAAGTTTTGAAGAAAAAAAGTTGTTTACGCAAAACGCAAGTGTTGTTATCAAGTCTCAAGCAAATGTGATTTATTTTTTACTGGATTTTCCAAAAGAATTGCATAACTAGAAAATTCAAATTCATGTATCCAAATCATAAAGAAATCTATTTTACAGCTGATCATACTTCTCAATTTCTGACAGACAGATAGCGCAGAAATACAGTTTAGCTTTATCAAATCTCTCGCAAATACAAATATAACAATATACGTGTTTACAAGGCGTCACTTCACAAGGCATAACTGGATGATGATTACATTCGGGGCAGATTTCATTAACTTCATCGATTCCGGCTTGTTCCTTTTCCTTATCCAGTAATTTCCAGGCCTTGATTTTAAACTTAGTAAACAATCTTGTTTTCATTATAAGAGGAATCAACACGTACAAAACACGAAATGATAGCTGCCATAACGCATTTCTAGCTATACCTTCAGAAACGATTCCCAGTTTTTTCTCACGCTGCGTTGAAGCTTTCAGTCCAAATATGAAATCAACAAGTCTTCGATTTCTACCCGTGGCTATAAAGGTCACATCGTTAATCAAAAGAGCAACACGCAACGCGAGTGCTAAGAGTAAACGCAAATTTTTCATCAAATTTCTTCTATTGGTTGAAAAATTTCGAACGTTTTTGAAAGCTTTCCAATCAAACTTGGTCGATTCAAAAGGATTCTGGAACATTTCAATCAAATAACTGCACAATGATATTTTAAAAGCCAAACTCGTGTCGATTAATTTCCCATCTTTGCTTAGAAGCTGAATTGCAAGTAATCGCTGGCCAGGATAACAAGATAACCGACTCAGAGATAAGAAATTAATAAGGAAATTAACTACATAATCTATGTTATAATTTTCCCAAGGTTCACTCAAACTGGGAAAATGCTCAAAAATTTCCTTGAATTTTGCTCTTATTGCACCGTATATGACATCGGTTAACACATTTGCGTCCCATTCATCACCTCTTGATGCAGGATACCAAGTAGTGCCTCGAAGCAATTCCATAATTGCAAAGTCTCCGATTGTAAACGTTTAACCTTTAGGTAGAATGTATTCAACTGTGATCGAAACTTTTAATGCTCTTTCACAATTTGACACATTCTGATAATTGCCTTAATTTTGTTGGATGATGAACAAAATGTAATTCAACAATAAATAATTATTGATCTAATTTGAAATTGTAATTTCAAAATAGGCGGAAAAATGAGTCTTACTTGTCTCTGATTTGGGTTTGTAGCTCTCTCACATTATTCGTAGCCTGTAGAACTTTGATTTTGTTGGAGCAGTCATCTAACTTTCGTTCATCAATCATATGGGATCTTCAAGACAACCACAGCATTCACATCTTATATTGAGAGTGCGGTTTGTAAGTAGACAACCGCATATTCTCAGTAAGTAGATAAATAACATATTAACCAATCAAAATGGAGATAAGAAAGCAAACATAAAAAAAAATTTAATTATTTATTTTGCACCTTTGCTTTCCATTCTCGATGCTGATTAGTTAATACAGTAGTTTTCTCCTTACTGCTATGTAACCTAATAAAAACTTAATGCTTAAAATTGGAAACGGACACATCTATTGGCATGTTAAACTAGGGTAATTTGTCTCTAATTAAGAAAAAATTTGTTTCATAATTTCGATACGAAAGCGAAGGAACCAAATGCAAAAGCAGACATTTTGAAGCAAAACTAAAAAAAAAACTTAAGGGAATACTAAAAAATTTTAATAATAGGAGAACTGACAAAAATAATAGGAAGACAAAAAATTGAAATTAAAATACCATGCAGATTTAAAGGATTTCTTCTCTAGGTCCGTTAAGACAGTAATTTAACGGCACCATAAAGTGGTCCCTTGGACAATGAATTCAGCGAAGACCAAGAATTACTACTTTCCACCAACCCGAAAGGGTTAAGTTGTTGGCAACTAATCTGTACTGTAGTATATCACTTGCCCCCTTTTTTACTGCTCTTAGGGCAGTCTCGCCCCATTGATACTTTTGCAAGATTTTCCAGTTGTAATTAAATTGAGATGAATTGAAGTAAAAAAAATAGAAGTATCTGAGTGGCCAGAAAATTTATAAATCTAATCAAAGGAAAGGGTCCACGATTTATCAGAACAATTGCCTAGATGCAATTCAACTCAACTAAACTATTCTCTTTCTCTAAAGAATCCTAACTAACCGACTACCCCCGATAACTCCTCACAACTACTCAGTTCGACCTGCTAAATTTAATAGTGTCTCTACGGATAACTATTCCTTTGAGGTAATTTAACTGATCTCGATAACATCAGGAATCATCGTTCTCGACTCTGATGAGAAACAACTATCTGCTCACTTCGCAATCTCTCGTCTCGCTAAAGGTGGACTATTTGTTAATCTGTATAATGTTTTTCTATTTGAATTTTAGTTATAGTAAGAGTTAGGATCGTCCTGAAATTTACTTTGATACTCCTTACGTAAGGACCAGACTAAATTCTTTAACTGACTCTACTAGTCCTAAATTACAATTTCACCATAGATATCTCCAACTAAGTTAGGCAAATATCAAGTTTTTAATTAGCCAACCTCCGAAGGTTTTTATCTAACTACCCAGTTAACTTTACGACCTCCCGGGCTATGTGAAGACACTTTTCATGGGTCGCTGACTCATTCCAAGCATCTAAAATTCCCAGCTGTTCTCCGTTACAATCCCGACTTTCTAGCTATTAGAGGAATGTAATTCGTTCAATAGGGGTCCAACTATGCCAAAAAGCTACTCAGGGGAGCTAAGTAAATATCCCGTCCATCCAAGTATTTAAGATACCTACTTACCATGCTATGCTCCTATTACTGCCAATATCCTTGGGGACTAAATTTCTTTAGTCTAGTTTGAACTCAATGATTAGCTTATTCTCCAAGCTAAGCTGAACCCAATGTTTGCCAATTCCAATTTAATTAGTTCTACTACTTCAATATTGCAATATAAAGGTGGATTATTTGTTAATAAAGGTGGTCTCACTAAAAGTGGACTATTTGTTAATCTGTATAATATTTTTCTATTTGAATTTTAGTTATAGTAAGAGTTAGGATCGTCCTGAATTTTACTTTGATAATCCTTACGTAAGGACCAGACTAAATTCTTTAACTGACTCTACTAGTCCTAAATTACAAGTTCACCATAGATATCTCCAACTAAGTTGGGCAAATATCAAGTTTTTAATTAGCCAACCTCCGAAGGTTTTCATCTTACTACCCAGTTAACGTTGGCAACTATTCTGTACTGTATTATATCACTTGCCCCCTTTTTTACTGCTCTTAGGGCAGTCTCGCCCCATTGATACTTTTGCAAGATTTTCCAGTTGTAATTAAATTGAGATGAATTGAAGTAAAAAAAATAGAAGTATCTGAGTGGCCAGAAAATAATTTATAAATCTAATCAAAGGAAAGGGTCCGCGATTTATCAGAACAATTGCCTAGATGCAATTCAACTCAACTAAACTATTCTCTTTCTCTAAAGAATCCTAACTAACCGACTACCCCCGATAACTCCTCACAACTGCTCAGTTCGACCTGCTAAATTTAATAGTGTCTCTACGGATAACTATTCCTTTGAGGTAATTTAACTGATCTCGATAACATCAGGAATCATCGTTCTCGACTCTGATGAGAAACAACTATCTGCTCACTTCGCAATCTCTCGTCTCGCTAAAGGTGGACTATTTGTTAATCTGTATAATGTTTTTCTATTTGAATTTTAGTTATAATAAGAGTTAGGATCGTCCTGAAATTTACTTTGATACTCCTTACGTAAGGACCAGACTAAATTCTTTAACTGACTTTACTAGTCCTAAATTACAAGTTCACCATAGATATCTCCAACTAAGTTGGGCAAATATCAAGTTTTTAATTAGCCAACCTCCGAAGGTTTTTATCTAACTACCCAGTTAACTTTACGACCTCCCGGGCTATGTGAAGACACTTTTCATGGGTCGCTGACTCATTCCAAGCATCTAAAATTCCCAGCTGTTCTCCATTACAATCCCGACTTTCTAGCTATTAGAGGAATGTAATTCGTTCAATAGGGGTCCAACTATGCCAAAAAGCTACTCAGGGGAGCTAAGTAAATATCCCGTCCATCCAAGTATTTAAGATACCTACTTACCATGCTATGCTCCTATTACTGCCAATATCCTTGGGGACTAAATTTCTTTAGTCTAGTTTGAACTCAATGATTAGCTTATTCTCCAAGCTAAGCTGAACCCAATGTTTGCCAATTCCAATTTAATTAGTTCTACTACTTCAATATTGCAATATAAAAGCAATATCTCTTTCAGCTTCTGCTTCAGGTCTCATTAGGAAAGTTCCCAACCAAATAGAAATAAGGTGATCGATTCCCATTTCCAGGGGTTGGGGCAGGGATTACGCCACTTTACGGTGTTAATCCGGAGGTTTTCGGTGCAATTATGGTCCTAAACATAAAAAGGTCATTTAAAGGTCACCTCGGGGTCAATCTTTCATCTTCAGGGTCAGAATCCTATGGCGGTCATATTTACGAAGTTTCATTCATATCCCATTAGTACTTCCCGAGTTAACACATTTTTTAAGTGCATTATCGTTTTTCCCGCGAACAGGCTATAAACACTGGAGGGGGTCGCCTGAGAAGTTTTGCTCACAAGAGGTCTTTTTCAGGGTTCCTAGCTAGTGCCTATTGCCGCATTAAAATCGATATGCCCTCACTCCTTATGTTGCCCTCACTCCTTATGGCATCAGGAATCATCGTTCTCGACTCTGATGAGAAACAAATATCTGCTCACTTCGCAATCTCTCGTCTCACTAAAGGTGGACTATTTGTTAATCTGTATAATGTTTTTCTATTTGAATTTTAGTTATAGTAAGAGTTAGGATCGTCCTGAATTTTACTTTGATAATCCTTACGTAAGGACCAGACTAAATTCTTTAACTGACTCTACTAGTCCTAAATTACAAGTTCACCATAGATATCTCCAACTAAGTTGGGCAAATATCAAGTTTTTAATTAGCCAACCTCCGAAGGTTTTTATCTAACTACCCAGTTAACGTTACGACCTCCCGGACTATGTGAAGACACTTTTCATGGGTCGCTGACTCATTCCAAGCATCTAACATTCCCAGCTGTTCTCCATTACAATCCCGACTTTCTAGCTATTAGAGGAATGTAAATCGTTCAATAGAGGTCTAACTATGCCAAAAAGCTACTCAGGGGAGCTAAGTAAATATCCCGTCCATTCAAATTAATTAGGATACCTACTTACCATGCTATGCTCCTATTACTGCCAATATCCTTGGGGACTAAATTTCTTTAGTCTAGTTTAAACTCAATGATTAGCTTATTCGCCAAGCTAAGCTGAATCCAATGTTTGTCAATTCCACTTTAATTAGTTCCACTAATTCAATATTGCAATATAAAACCAATATCTCTTTCAGCTTCTGCTTCAGGTCTCATTAGTAAAGTTCCCAACCAAATAGAAATAAGGTGATCGATTCCCATTTCCAGGGGTTGGGGCAGGGATTACGCCACTTAACGGTGTTAATCCGGAGGTTTTCGGTGCAATTATGGTCCTAAACATGAAAAGGTCATTTAAAAGTCACCTCGGGGTCAATCTTTCATCTTCAGGGTCAGAATCTTATGGCGGTCATATTTACCAAGTTTCATTCATATCCCATTAGTACTTCCCAAGTTGACACATTTTTAACGTCCATTATAGTTTTTCCCGCGAACAGGCTATGAACACTGGAGGGGGTCGCCTGAGAAGTTTTGCTCACAAGAGGTCTTTTTCAGGGTTCATATCTAGTGTCTATTGCCGCAATAAAATCGATATGCCCTCACTCCTTATGTTGCACAAAATTGCCTATTTCCGGTCTAAGAGGGGTTTTTTCCAAGTGCTAATGATTTCCGGTCCGACTGTCGGATTGGCTCAAATTATAATACATGATGTTCCGTATCACTACCTATCCTATCCCAAATTTTGTCTCCCTACCAGCACCAGGGGTCGGAAGATTGCCTCCGGAAGTCCGGTGCTTTGGACATGGAAACGAAAACTTTTCATTTTGGATTTGATTTAATCATGCTCAATCGACGCGGAAGGGTCGATAGCCTACACTTTTAGGAGGGCTTGTAGGAGCGTTTTTGATCCTTTGTTTGCGTTTTTGATCCTTTGTTCCGAAAGATTCTCAACACTAGAAAAATTTTATAATACAAAGCTCTTCCTCATTTTCAATGGTCGGAAAAAACTCACACGTTTGTCTCAATTGAGAAACACATTCCGAAAAACACAATCGACATCTTAAAACTACATTT